TTTCTTATTTCACCATCACATTTTTCTATTCTTTTAAACAATAAGTTTCGAACATCAGGTAGGTTGAAGTTTATGTTATTTGACCTCACATGTTTTTTACGAATTTACAATTGACGAAGCCATTTTTATTGAATTAAGCTTGAAATGGTAGGGAGTTAGTCTGAGGTCTGAGCACTATTTTATTATAATCAATAATAATAAATTTGTTGTGTATCGGTTTTAATCGTTTTATAATTTCCAAAAATTCGGGAATGATCGTTATTTTGTTAATTACCTACCTCTTCAGTCTTCTTTACTTTTGAGCCATCAAATGATATCTGCTATGCCCCAATTTGACATGTAAATAAAATAAATTATATTTAATTGTACCCTACGTTTAATAGTATTATATTTACCAACCAGTGCGACCGACCGCAACCTGTTCCTTATAAAATGTTTATTATTATAATTATTATTTTATTATTTATAAATAAATATTTTATTTCTCTAAATATAGCTCAATTATAATAGCTCCACGTTGAGCACGCAAGCGTCGTCACACATATTTTGAAATTAGAAAAAGTTCGGTATGCTATAATCGGATTTTAGACTTATAGGAAAAACAGTATGAGTAAAGCAATGTCATGTTTTGATCATTATAAAATCAAAAACTTGAAGATTTATTTAAATTCTGAAGTATTCCTCTACGAAGATTTTCAAAGCGACTTTACTAAGAATAAGATGGCTACATTATACCACGCATATATTGAGTTTCAGAAATCCTACTATGGTCCTGATAATGTTACTCCTCTATTGACTCGATCAGATTTCAAAAAAAACCATCGCCGATTATAGTTGTGGATATGACTATATGAGCAGATAGAACGATAATGTAAAACGTCAACTGTTGATCTAAGGATTGAGATTGAGACCGAAGAAGCGTCTCCACTTCGGCATATTGCTTAATATTACATGACCAAATTATAACTTATAATCCATTTAATGACAAAGTAAGAACAATGTTAATATTTATTGTAAAACTTAAAGAGGACGTGATACCCGTGTGTGTTGTCTCCGTCTTACAAACGCGTAACATGGTAAATTTTACGCTTAGCAGATCACGTTTTACTCCGTTAGTTTAAAAATTAGAGTTTATTGATCTCTTATAAAATTTAAAGATAAGAATATTATTTAGACGACCTCGTGGGCTTTTTACTACATTTTAATTTTGAAGCGAGTTATAAGTATTTTAAGAAGTATAAAAAATTAACAATCTTAAAATTTATTTTTTTAAATAATGGTTTTTATCCTGTTTTTTTATTTATTTTTAAAATATGGTCACCCTAGGTTAAACTAAAACATTCGTTGTTCGACTTGCTCCAACCAAAATTTAAAATATAATTGTATTTGTAAAGTAATAGTTAAATATACTATTGTGTGAAGCAAATTGCAAATTCTGAAGTCTTTTTACTTATTAAATTATAACTTATAAGCTTAAATAATAATAATATGATTATGAGGATATACATTTAAATGTATAATAATTAATTGTTTTTTTATTATTTGTTTATTTTTTAATTTAGAACACTAACAACGTTGAAAGAAGGTGTACAGTTACCACCTCCCGACTATTTGATGTGCAAATTGATCGATATGGTGAACGTTGAGAACCCTCCTTGCTCCAACTGCGACAAACGCGATCCGTCTTCAATGTATTTTTGCTCTACTTGTGGTAAGCCTGTGTATTTTACAACAAACAACCTCACTCACCCAACACTACTGGATGGGTTTACACTATATTTTCACCTATTAAAAAAAAATTGTATCGTCGGCTTTTTAGGTCAAGCTTTATGCAAGCCCTGCCGAGAAAATACTCACCGTGCAAAAATGTTTTCGTCACACGACATTGTGCAAATGTCCAAGCGCTTGGCGGACAAAACAGAAATAGTAAGCCACAAATGCACAAACACAATATGTACTATAATATTAGAGTACTATTAAGCTCGGATTAAGTCCTTTAGAACAGTAGTCTTAGACCGGTGGTCAATAATTGATGGGATATCAATTGTGTTATACTTTTTTTTTTATTAATTACAATATAGGTATATAAATGGCTAAAACTCGAAATATACAAGTATTTCATTCAAGCAAATAAATTAAACATAATAATAATTAAAATAATCTTAATAAATAATTTTAAATTTGTCCGTTTTAACATATAATATTCATATAGATTTTCTTTTTTTTTAAAACTGATCGTAAAAAATAAATAATTATTTTATTACTAAATTGGGTTCAAGCAGTGACGTGTCTAGGATTTTGAAAGGGAGGGGGTAAATGAGGGCTCAGTTATCTCTATTTTAGGTCCTAGACATTAATTGAGCAAAAAAAAAAAAAGAATCAAGTTATCAGAAAAGAATAGGTCCTATAATATACAATATATTAATATAATAAGCTATTAATAAAGCACTACACAAGTATAATATTTAAGTTGTGGAAATAATAATTTTATGCATCAATCAGTTATCAATGTTATCATATATTAATACATTTAATTGATAATTTTATAAAAAGTTATTTATTAACAACTAGTAAATAAATAAGAATAAGTAGTTATCAGAGTTAATTCTATATGAATATGATATTGACAGAGTTGTAAAATGATTAAAAAAAAAAAATTTAGATATTTGAATATAGTTGGATAGAGCTTTGATTATACCCCTGCCGGCTGTCTCAATCTGAGCTTAAATAAGTACTGTAATAATAAATAAATATAAAATAATATATTATTATAGAGGTAGACATTTTTTAATGTTTCTATTTATGTTATAACCAGTTGTATACGTTCATTGAACGCATGTTACCTAATAATGCATTGATTATATAATAGGTTATAAAATAATATGAGAATAAATGATTATAAATAGTATATTCTATAATTAATGTTAATAATAAGTTGGTACCTAGTATAAAAATGGTATTGTTTAAAAAAAGAAAACTATATATATTATAAACGTTTCCGTAGTGTCCAAAGCACGACGAAAAGATCAGCTATTTTTCGAGTACTCAGAAACATGTGATCTGTACCAGTTGCGTACGCGAAAAGCCTCCCGAGAGTCGGAAGGCATGCGTAGACATAGACGTAGCTTATAACCAAAACTTGAAAAAATTAGATAGAGCACTTTTAGTAAGTGGTTTTCGGTTCTGTCGTGGTTAAATACGTTTATTGATTTTTAAACATGTTTTAGTCGGTGTACGATATGCAGAACACAATCCGCGAGGGTGTAGTGGCTTGTCACACACTCCTTGAAGAGCTACGGCAAAACACAGACACGGAAAAATTGACTATACATAATTTCGTCCAAACACTCCATGACGCCATCAATAAAATACAAACCGATATGCACTTGGAAGTCCAACGGTAATATTTTATTTTATACATTGTTTTTGTTCTATTATAAATTGAACTGGACATGATTTGTAGATTATTAGAGTTAATAAGTAGATAATAATATTAATATATATTTACTAATTTATCACTTTGCATATTGAGTAATAGGCAATAGCATTGCGTATTTAATAATGGTTATAGGTGCGCAAATATGAATCGTTTATTTAAAACTTTTTAAATTAATTAATAAACAGTTTTGGTCTAGTTACTTTGGCTGTAGCCCATTAGTGCAAAATATGACCTAAACGTAACCCAAAAGTGCAAAAATAAATATTTCATAGACCATAAACGCAAAAAAAATACATCTTTTTAACAAACCATAAGTGTAAATAAGTTTTACGAAAATAAAGTATATTTTATAAGTTAAATATAACTTTTATATTGTATACATTGTATAGGTAGTCATCTTAAATGATTATCAATCGACAATCTTCGTCGTAATTCGTTACGATAAAATATGATACAATAATACAAAACTTCAACTGAACTCGATCACTGTTAATGTATTTTTGAATTATAAAAACACTATATGTTTAATTAAAATGAATAATTTAATTTAATAATTAATAATTTTAAAATGAAACTTTAATGTAACGGGAACAATATTTATTTTTGCGTTTTTATCTCACTTCTAAGATACAAAAGTGAAAAATGAAATTGCGTTTTTGGTCTATCGAAAAAAATAAACAATAATTTGCACTTTTGAGTTTCATCGGTTACTTTTATTATAAAATAGATTGTATAGACCCTTCGTTTATACTAAAAAGTTTCAATTTTACACCTAATTAGTTATCCTTTGTTAATAATAAACTTATATGAGTGCAAGAGTGTTTGAATATTTAGGTTATTTCGGGAAGTGCGTTAAGTGGTGAACTATTTTTTTCAGTTTTCTTAAAATTTGATTTTTTGTTTTTAACCTCATGAATAAGTGATTCATATTGTTTATAAATTATATTTAACCTACGTACCTTTATTAATTTTTTTTATTTACATTATTATTGTAAAGACCGACCTTATTGGACAAAATTATATTATTGTTTAGTAAGACCAGGTTGTGCCCAAGCGGATGGCACTTAGGATACGTGTGTTTTGTGTAGGTATGAGTGTAGAAAAATAAATCGCCGAGTTATATTTTACACTTTATTCGCTTAAAAGACGGACGACAACTGACACTCCGTCGTATCGACGAAATTAACATTATACAGATAATCTTTGTATTAATCCGATTACGATCGTCATATGGAAAAACCTTTCAATTGTAATCAGAGTATACTATAATAATGTGTATAGCTAATAAAATAAACACACATATATATATATATATATATATATATATAATTCAATTTTCAATATTGCCACAGTTCGGCCTTCCAGACCACATTGTCGTCTCGACAATATATATATAATTTTACAATTTTTTTTTTTTTTTTATAACAAAAACATTTATATTTTGCATGAAAACTTAAGGGGAATAATGTATAAATAATTGGAAAGTAGTTAAATTATAAAAGTGTATAATTGTAGGTTCAATTTACTTTAACCCCATAGAAATTATTATGAGTTATTTAAGTTAATAACTAATAACACTGTTTTAATTGTCAAACACCATTTTATACTTAAAAATATATATTCGAAAATAAAGAAATAAGTACAATATAAATCATTTAATTTTTCTTGCTAATTTTTCTTGCTAATTGTTCTTTTATTTTACTTTTCATAAAAGCATCGAGTTCTGCATCTAGTTCATCTTTATTTGGCATCTTTTCTTCATTATTCTTATCACCTCTGCCACTACTTCCATCTTGTCCACCGGTGTTGCCACGACTATTACCACGATCATCTCTTGCTCTTCGCATATAATTATCGAGTTGTGCATCTAGTTCAACTTTATTTGGCATCTTTTTTTCATTATTCTTACCACCTATGCCACCATCTTCACCTCGTCCTCTAGTGTTGCCACGACTAACAGGTTTACTCGGACGTGTAGCAAGATTAGCAACTGTAGATAACTCTGTGGCGAGTTTAATTTTCATAGGACGTCCATCCAAACGAACGTTGTTATATTGATGAACTGCTTTTAATGCAGCATTCTTACTATCAAAAACAACATCTGCTATTCCTAATGATCTACCTGAGGTATCGTAGTGAACTGTAGCAGTTTTTAAAGGCCCAAATTCATCAAAAAGTTCCTGTATATCTTTTGATGTGACTCCAAAATCCAAATTTGATATGATTATTTTATGAATATTGGTAGTAGATAAACCACCCCTCATTTGTTGTCTTTTAGGTCCTTCATACATATCGCGAGTCCAAGAATAAGGATTGAATCCATTTGAACGCCTGGCCATTGGTCTGTTTCTACGCATTGGGCCTTCGCCACCGCCGATAACACCATTTGATCGGAAATTTAATCCTCCACCATCGCGTCTGATACCACCACCTCTAGAGCCGCCTTGTCCTTCGTCGCCACGATGTCCATCGCGAGACGTTGACCGTTTGCTTTTAATTATTTCGTCCAAGCTTAAATCCATCTTGAGTAGATGTCGGTGTATTATTGATTCACAAACAAAATGCAGGAAGTTTAGATTCGTGTGAAGAAAACTTAGTAAACGGGAACCACGCTATAAACAACAAAAACTTTAACAAAAATAGCCGCAACGCAAACAACCGCTGATCACACGAAATATCACAATGTTTAATATTACGTTGTTAGTCGGACGGTTCCATGGTTGCTAATACTCACTATGGCAATTAGCTTGTGTACTCGCATCGGTATGTATCTCAGTATATCCCCCTGGATTGTACATAGCTAAATAGGTTTATTAGTTAATTTTTTTATATAAATTCTTAATACACTTGATATACTTGTACACTACTCCAGTGTATTTTTATTGATAAATTAAATGACATAATGTCATAATGTAATTGTGAATAAATATTAACATATTATTAATAGTGTTCTAAATACGTATAAGTAAAACTGTAAGTCATCAGTATTTCAAGTGTTTCAATATTTGAGTATTGATATGTATTTAAAAACATTTTTTTTTTCAAATTTAAATGGTAAATAGAGATGAATAAGTTTCATGTTTATTACTTAGGAGTTAAAATTATACTCATACAGATTGTAGGTACCTACTCTATCTTTTACTATTTTGTTTATAGTTATGCCTTCATCAGATATGTCATCAACAGTAATATCTTCCACGTTATTATCCTCACCATATGAAATTATTATTGAACCAACTTCAAATAATACTAACATCAGTACATTACTATAATATTTTTGATATCGTGTGTTATACAAATAAATTGTAATCACAAAATGAAAAAGTAGATACAGTAAAAGCCGCTTATTAGAAACACTTTGGGACCAAGGTGAATTGTGTCAATTAACCGATTGTTTCTAATAAGCGATTGAAAAAAAAAAAATGAATAATAGGTACGCGAAAAAAATATGTATGTATGTATGTACCTATATTGTATAATTTAAAAAAGTATGCACAATTGTGTATATTTTACGATATTATGTAAAATATTTATCATTCGTAATTTGTTTTTTTACGTCGAGTAACTCCATGACCATATTTTCATACGAGTAATATTGCCCCTTTAGCTTTGTCACTTATTTTGAGTGCGTATGTGTGTTCAGGTAGAGCTCCAAAATAAAGCCCAGTCTCGTCCGCATTGAAAATATCAGAGCGTGTGTATTGGGCTAGCAAATCGGTCAAATGAGTTTCAAACCACGAATGGTCGCATGAAAATTGGCTAAAATCTTAGCGTTTAGACATTTTTAGATTTTTAGAAAAAGAAAACATTAATAATCTTTACATACGCACGCTGAAGCTAAACTACAAACGGTACGACCAGTACGTACAGAAAGAGCATTCTCGCGATAAATTACAGTAAAAATAAACGTAACGACAGCAAAGATAAAATTGAAGTACATTGGTTATCGCTAGATAATCGGTGTATATGTCAACTGACCTTCTCCCAATTGTTTCAAATAACCGATGTGATGTTTCAATAATCCGATTTATTTTCAATGTTCTAATATACGGCCGATCCGTCCCGAGACATTTTGTTTCAATAACACGATTGTATCAATTATCCGTGTTTCTAATAAGCGGCTTCTACTGTATTTAAAACAAAATACGGAAACCTGATTTTAATTATAATTTTCCTTTTAAAGCATAAATTATAAGAAAGTATTAAAGTTTCAATTTAAATGGTTTTTAAATTTCTCTTGATGGTATATGTAATCAAAAAGGGAAAACGAAACATATTACAAATATTGTATTGCAATTAGGTACTTAAAACGATGCAGCCATGCAGGCATTAATAATAAAAAACTGGGAGCATTGATATTAAAATTTTAATATGTTTGGATATTTAAAAGTTATATTTCCAAATATGTTCAGACTTTTTCAAATATTAGCAACTTTTCTGATTTCGTCTATTTCAAATGAAAAATTATTTTGCTTTACTTTTCAGGTTATTAGGTATACTTATATATAAGTTATATCTTTATATTATAAAAGCATTAAACATTATATACTATTAAAATATACAATTATTAGTTATTATTAATATTATTAATTCAAATTTAATAAAGTTTACTTTTTTTTTTTTTAATGGGAAAACTTAGTGACTTAGCTATGCTATCCATAAATTGACAATCGTTATAGCCTAAACACCTAAGATAGGTAAAGTTCTTATTGAATTACACCAAACAAAAAACGACATTTAGAATTTTGCTGTTATATAATATTAAATATTCAACATAGCTATTTAATTATTTTTATTTTTTTAATAAAAATATTATTACAAATATGATAATATTTTAACTATAGTCTTTAAATGGAATTATTGTATTGGGTGAAACGAGAAACACTCTGATAGACAGATATGTAAATGATAGGTATGAAATTTAATTTACCCTCCCTCCTCCAATAAGAAAATTTAATTACTGATTTTCTTATGTGAGAAGGGAGGATAAATTAAATTTCATACGTATCATTTATATATCTGTCTATCAGAGTGTTTCTCGTTTCACCCAATACAATAATTCCATTTAAAGACTACCTGTAATCTATACCGGCTGTACTCGTGTGTGATAATATTATATTTGTTTATAAATATTGTATCAAAACACTCTAAACAAAGCGACACAGATTTTAGTCAATAAAAAACAAGCATAATATCAAACCGTTTTCATCATATGTTTGTATCACCATTTTGTCCATTATCTTATTTTCTTCGTTTGCCTACTTGAGTAATAATAATAATATAAAAATGTTTTCTAGGTATTCAATATGTGATTTAAGATAAATCCGTTGATTAGTATTTGTTGATAATATCAAACGATGGAGCAGTATGATTGGTTCTACACAGGGACTTATTTAAGGTTGCAGGTGTGGTAAATTACGAATGAGCGTAGAGTAATATTTACTTCATCCTATTTTTATAGATTTAATAGATTATTATTCATTTTTATCGACGCGACTGAACGTAGAATATTTTATGCGAAGTCACAACAATGAAACTGAAATTTTTTAATTTTCACTTGTTATTACGCGCAATAAATGTGCCATGTGACGGCTCCTGTAGCTATATGGTTTTGTGACTCGCTACTACACAACAGAGTCGCGCCCTTTGAAAACGTATGTAACGTGCTTCGCAAAATTTCCAAGGCATTTCTATGATAAAAAAAAAACCCCGCACGATCCACAAGCCACTAGCCGAACTATTATTTATTTTTATTATTTATTTAATTTGTTGGGAAAACATTTAAAATAAGCATTACGGTGATTTAAAAAATAACTGTTTTCAAATTATTATAGAAATAGTTCAATTTACATAAAGAGCGTTTGATTAACTACATTAAAAAAATTAAACGTGTTTAAACGAAGTAAGACATTAAGTTAATAACTAATAACACTGTTTTAATTGTCAAACATTATTTTATTCTATATATTAGAAAATAAAGAAATATGTACAATATAAATAATTTAATTTTTTTTGCTAATTTTTCTTGCTAATTGTTCTTTTATTTTACTTTTCATAAAATCATCGAGTTCTGCATCTCTACCTCGTCCTCTAGTGTTGCCACGACTATTACCACGACCATCTCTTGCTCTTTGCATAAAATCATCGAGTTCTGCATCTAGTTCATCTTTATTTGGCATCTTTTCTTCATTATTCTTATCACCTCTGCCACTACTTCCATCTTGTCCACCGGTGTTGCCACGACTATTACCACGATCATCTCTTGCTCTTCGCATATAATTATCGAGTTGTGCATCTAGTTCATCTTTATCTGGCATCTTTTTTCCATTATTCCTACCAAATCTGCCACTACCTCCACCTCGTCCTCTGGTGTTGCCACGACTAGCGGATCTACTCAGACGTGTAGCAAGATTGGCAACTATAGATAAGTCTGTGGCGAGTTCAATCTTCATAGGACATCCATCCAAAGAAACGTTGTTATATTTACGAACTGCTTTTAATGCAGCATTCTTACTATCAAAAACAACAACTGCTGTTCCTAATGATCTACCTGAGCTATCATAGTGCACTGTAGCAGTTTTTAAAGGCCCAAATTCATCAAAAAGTTCCTGGATATCTGTTGATGTGACTCCAAAATCCAAATTTGATATGACTATCTTATGAATTTTAGGTCCTTCATACATATCGTGAGTCCAAGAACCATTAACATCACCCTTAGAATAAGGACTGAATCCATTTGAACGCCTGGCCATTGGTCTGCCTCTACGCATTGGGCCTCCGCCACCGCCGGTAGCACCATTTGATCGGAAATTCGATCCTCCACCACCGCGTCTGATACCATCATCTCTAGAGCCGCCTTGTCTTCCGCCGCCACGACGTCCACCGCGAGACGTTGACCGTTTGCTTTTGATTAGTTCGTCCAAGGTTAAATCCATCTTGAGTAGAAGTCGATGTATTATTTATTCACAAACAAAATGCAGAAAGTTTAGATTCGTGTGAAGAAAACTTAGTAAACGGGAACCACGCTATAAACAACAAAAATAGTCGTAACGCAAACAACCGCTGATCACACGAAATATCACAATGTTTAATGTTATGTTGTTAGTGGGACGGTTTCATGGTTGCCAATACTCACTATGGCGACTAGCTTGTGTACTCGCATCGGTATGTATCTCAGTATATCCCCATGGATTGTACATAGCTAAAATAGGTTTATTAATTAATGTTTTTTTTAATATTTCGAAAGATTTCTCCTGTTCTTTTTCCCATATGAACGGTTTATTTTTAGATAATAAATCCGTAATTGGTCGTGCAATAACGGCAAATCCTTTAATAAATCGACGAAAAAAACTAACTAGACTTATGAACCCTCGTACTGCTCTAACATTTTTCGGTGTAGGATAGTTTTCTACTGCCAAAATTTTCCTTTTTCCGGGTTCTATGCTACCACTACTTATTTCAAATCCCAAGTATTCTAACCTACGCATAAAAAATTTGCATTTTTCTAGCCTAATAGTGAGCCCTGCATCCTTGAGTGCTTCTAATACAAGTTTTAGTTTTTTAATGCCTTCTTCCACATCCTTGCTTGGTATAATTATGTCGTCTAGATATGCTAGGGCTACCGAAAATAAAAGATTACCTAATAACCTAACCTATAACCACCACCGCGTCATTTGTCCACATCGGTGTTTTTGTAATTTGATTTTCAGCACTAATCGGTATAATTTCCTCAACCTTTAATTTTCCCGCTAT